GACTGAATTTTGTGGAGCATCCTGTGTTGCATGACAACAATAAATGATCCTTAAATTATTGAATAACAGATTTTCCCCCAAAAAATATTGTTGTTTAAAGCAGAGGGGTTTATCTTACAAAATAGAGAATATATGAATAGACCCTTTCATGTGTGTCATTCTTGCACTTCTATAATTATGTGGAAGAATAACACAGGAGACATTTATTAGACATGTAGCCTATTAAATATGTCGTTAGATCAACTTTCAACTTGTAATCGTCAACAAAGGTTTTTGGATTTTTTGTGGCAAGTTAAAGAAAGACGATAAAATACAAAAAGCCTAAATATACATATAGGAACATATAGTGTTATGACATGTTTTACATGTTTTACATTTTAATGAATGAATTTGAAATCGTCCAGTTTTTACAGGAAAAAACTGAAAATATCCCATCTTCTATTTTAATCCCTTCAGAATATAATTTATAACATTATAGGTTTATTAGCCTAAACTATGACGTGTATTAACTTATTGTTATTTTTTAATTAATGTATTGTTATTTATTTTTCAATGGGAACACAAATGGAATAAGAGAACAGTGACAGACCGATTAAGAGTCTGGCTCTCCTGTCTGCTCTTTGAACGAGAGTGTCTCCTGGATTAATTGGCCATCCCATTATTTTAGCATTCTCCCCATCTCGTCACCATGGCAACAGCCAGAAGCAGCCAAAGCTGCAATACCACCTGTGACCACACCGATGGAGTCCCTGTTTTTTAGGCAAGGGACAGATTAAAAATGATGGGAAAAGTGTCACATATAATGCAAATAAAATGCCCTTATTATCTGTTAGAATACATGTTATCCTCATGTAGGTATCCATGTATTCTCTCCACAGTGACGTGTTCAGTCACATCGTAGCATCTAAACCCAGCTGACCACCTCTGTGTTCACTGATGAGGTTAAATGATTTGCATGCATCCAGTGCTGCTCCTGCAAACCCGGTCATGTCCACCTTAAAAGGAAAATCTGTATTGTCTCGTGGCAGCAAATCAGCAGAGGAGATGCAGAGAGAATATTAAATTCATTTTAAAAGCTGTCCTAAAACATGTGAGGCCTGCAAATGATCACATGTTTTTATATACGTACGTGTTCTTTTCTCTCTGGAAATGTATTTTTGGGACATCATATCCTTCAGGTCATATGATTTACATTATTGATTCAAGTCCAACGTGACTTGCATTGGTGTTTTTATTTTTACTGAGTTGGCCAAAGAAAAAAACACCAACCTGGCTCTCAAACTGATTAAAACGTAAGTGAGAAAACACTTTTGTTTTATTGTTGTTTGTGATGGACATTGATCCAAAAAAAAACCTTCTGCTGAGTAAAATGTTCTCCAGTGCAGCTCTCTTGAACTTCTCTGTACTTGTATGTAACGTTGTTGTGATGTTGTGTTGTTTTACATCTGTCATCCATGTCAGATCGGTTGAGAACATTCACACATTTGAGGATTCATCCTCTTTCTCGTGATCCACAATTTAAAAGGATAATAAAAAAAGATATTTAATCCAACTGTGAGCGGATAAAAATATTATTGTAAATATAGGCAGTGGTGTTGCACTGGGGCCTCTGTTAGGGGGCCAATGAATAAAAGCAGGCCCTCCAACAATGTGTTCAGTGTAGAATGGGTTCTTATAGGGATTGAAATCTAGGACATAAGCCTGTTTGAAGTTTTTTGTGCCATTTGCTTTATTTTTTCTTTTGAGTCTGTGTGTGTGTGTGTGTGTGTGTCTGTGTGTGTGTGTGTGTGTGTGTGTGTGTGTGTGTGTGTGTGTTTCACAACCGGTATAACTAATCATTTATTTATCTATTTACCTTATAGTTTCCTCCTCGTTGTAAATGAACCAGAGTTAAAGCTCATGAGCTAATTTTCATCTGTCTCGTGGCCTATGATATTATCAATACAATACTTCAGCAAACACTATAATACAACAATACAATAAGTAAATATGTTACAAAAGCAGCAGATATGTAAAAACAGTTGGAGTATGTAACAGTTAGAGTTGACGGGTACTCATGATTGCTTTGCTTTAAGCACCTCTTCTGTTTAAATGTTTGCACAAATCTTCTCTTAAACGTCAACAGAAGTGAAACCGCCTTTTATTTTTCTGTTGGTGTGAAGATGGTGACATCTACTGTTGATTACCATAACTACATATTCAGGATAGAAACTAACAATTTAATCCTGCAAATATTAATTTAACAAGAAGAAAGCCACAAAAAAAATGAATTTGTACATTAAAAGATTTAGAAAATGTAAGACCATACATGTGACTCCTCATCACATCATGTGTCACCAGTCTGTTTACATTATGTTTTATTATGAATCTGGGAGGTTGGTTAGAGTTTAATAAACAGGGACGTTGAACTGTTTGCATTTTTTATTTTAATAATAAGGTATTACCGGTCAGTTAGGTTTGTCATTTTCAAATCATAATCATCTCTCATGTGTAAAAAGTGTTTAAAAAACCCCAAATATGCCGGATATTCATTTATATATTCATGAGTTAATGCCTTTTTTCTTTTAGCAGCTTTGCTTGTTCAGTGTGTTATTGATTTCTATCTGCATTATTATGGACACATTGAGTACATAAAAAAGCAAAAAGGTGAATTTTTTATTTTTATCTTAATTATGATCATTTAAAGCTGAAAATATTTAAACTGTTTATATTTAGGAGTATGTGTAATTTTGTTAAACATCAAATAAATGCTTTAGTTGTGGTTGAAATATTCCTGATGTGTGTTTGACTGCATTGTATCATATGCATGTATCTGTATGTATTGATTATCTGCATTCACACAGTTTCCTCCAAATATGCTTAATGCAGTGAAAGATTCTCATTCATAACGTGCAGCAAAGTCAAAGGTACGCACGACCACATTGTAGCAGTTTTAATGCAAATGACACACACACACATGACACAAAATAAAATCTGCACAAAGGAACAGTGTTTGGATCTTATTCTTTGTGTACATTCAGACATCACTGTACAGCAGCGGCAGATGACTGTGAAGTCTGGATCGCTGGTGCTGCAGCGGCTCGGGGTCTCGGGTCTCGGGGTCTCGGGTCTCGCGGTCGTCTCACTCAGCTTCAGAGTTGGCGACTCTACCTCACATCAATACACAATAATGAGGGGAAAAACACTCTTCTGTGACTTTGTAGGCACATATAAATATAGTGTTGGCAGCTTCTAGTTGCTTATAATTACAATGAGAGATAATGGCATTTAGGGACCTTTTAAGCCTTCGGCTACAAGTTGATAATTAAAAAAATAATGTGCAGGCACAGTAAGGCGAGATAATACAGGCAGACACATTGTTATTCATGCACTGGTCCATTTTGAGATCTCGTCTTTCAGACTAGAGGAAAGAAAACATTTATTTTACTACTTTGTCTATTTAAGTCTGTAGATTTCTACTAAATGCACCAACAGTTACCATTACATAATGCCTCATTTGCATATTTAAACATCACATTTCAGAAAACTTGTAATACAATAAATAATCCTCTTAGTAATGAAGTGGTGAAGTTTCATGGTAATATCAGTTAATATTTGTACCCTATTCACCTGTAGTGTCTCTTACCTTAAATGAAACATCACACCTTTATGATCCATGAACATAAAAGTTGTCTTTTTGATAATATCGTCCCAAATAAATCAAACTCGCTTAATTTAGCCAAAAGAACAATTAACCTGCTGGTCGTTGTCATACAGTCCCTTACAGACTGTGTCTGTGGATGAAGAACAAAACAAGCATTACCTTTATTTTACTCATATTCTAGGGATCGTCTTCCATTTCGTGGCTGAAAGTGCAAACAAAATTTGATTGAATGTTCATCACATTATTCAGGGGAATTCTTTGCTTTTCTTTTGATTTCCTGACATGAACGTGATCGTACCCGATAGAGGAAGTAACCTCTGCTCTGGATTCCTCCAGGTCCCTGGAGTTCGGCCTGCACATGTAACAGAGTTAATGATTCCACTTGCCATCACTGGCCATTGGTTGCTAGTATTACTACATTATTTAAGTTATTGCTAATCCTTATCATTTTCATATTATTTCCTCCTAAATATCATTTACAACTTGTTATCATTAGTTCCCCACGGAGACAAGTGTGTTG